CCCCAGCTGCTGAGCACGACTTCCCTGACCTGTTGGCCTAGGTCACGGAACCTTGTCCAGGAGCTCCTCACCCCTCCCCACCCCCCTAATAAAGCTATTTCTGTTTCTGCTCTCCCTTCTCCTGTCAGTTGTGTCTTGTCTTCCTCCTTGTTCCTCAGTTTCCCCTTTATAATAACTTTGGCACATCATCCCACATGCTTTGAATTATATCTAGATTACACAATGTAAATGCCAACATATAGACCCTCTTGGTCTTTGAAGGATTGCCTAGGTCCTTTCACAGTTTCCCCTCCCTCCAATACTTTCTCTCAGTGGTTGGTTGAGTCCTCAGATAAGGAACCTGTGGAAACAGAGAGGCAGCTGTTTTGCCTCTGGACTTATCTGTGACCCAACTGCATCTTCTAGCTATGGTAGGACCAGGATAAAGTAGATGGCTAGGGGTAAAGATGTAAGATGTTCCAAAGCAGCAGAAGAAAGTAGTAAACAATTCAATTAAAAGACAGGTTGGAAGCATATAAGGGAGAAATTTCTGGCAAAATGACATTTTGATTTACTACTTGTGAGAGTATATCAAAAAAGCACAATCTTTTATGTCTGCCAGGCAGCTCTGATTTTGAGAACTTATTCCATGGCTATGTTTTATGAGATTCATGGCAACATATTCACTTCTCTATGTCTCTGTTTCCTGGTTCTTCTGTTTGTTTTTAATGGTGACAATAGCTGTCTCTTACATGATGGTGAGCATCAAGTAAGGTGCATAAAGCACTTAGCATAGGTCCCGGCATATAGTAAGTGTTCAAGAAGTGATAACTTAAAGGTATCATTCTCTTCTTTAAGAAAAATGCTCATTCTTGATAAAATAGTGACTAAATTAAAAGTACAAGTGAAATATAAGGCAAGTATTGCTCTATGTCACAACTAATGTCTTGGTTTCCCATACATAGAATGGGAAATAAAAACATTTACAGTATATAAATTAAATGGTTTAAATTAAAATGATTATAGTTGCTTAATGGGGCTAGATCGATAGGCAGTGGGTGTTCTATTGACTCCTGTCAATCATATGTAAGACAGAATGAAGCCTTGCCTAGTCCTGTGTCATTTCGTAGTACCTGGTGCAGACGTACTAACCGACAAACATGAGGTTAAATGAAACTGTTGCTGAGGGCTTCAGTTTATACACAACTGGTTTGTCACAAACAAAACATGGGTAAGTATCTGTTGGGGTACCATGGACGGCTGCAGACAAGTTCTCTTGGCAATACACTTGTCTTCGTGTTACTGAACCTAAAAATAATCCACTGCCATTGAGATGGTTCCAACTCATAGAGACCCTGTGAATTAGTGTTGAACTGCTCCTGTAGGTTTCCACGATTCTTTATAAAGGTTTCCTTTTAAAAATGCAATAAAAGTGGCTTTCAGGGGGATCTGCTACATTCAGTGTAGGGAGGTCAGCTAGGAGGTGATGGGGACTGATTTGGGGACTACGAAAGGGTAATGTTGATAAGAGTTTTGTGAAAGGGGCTGATTAAGAAGAAATTCTGAGACTGTGGAAAACTGCCTTGGAGATTAAAAAGGCCAGGAGAGTGGTGCCAAGGAATTATTTTTCCTGTCAAAACAACACACCTGCTTATTTTCCAAGGTAGCAAGGGCTGTTCTATTCGAATTTTATTGGGAATATTACCCCATCTGCCCTATAGGCCTTATCATGTCTGTTCAGACTTCTTGGTGTCCCTAAAAATCAAAGAGCATTGAAAAGGAACACAGTTTGAGTCAGTCAAGGATACCCAAACGTCTGTCTTGGTTTGGTGCCGACCGCAGAGAGTAGAATTCTTAGTGGAAGGCTGAGGTGGAAGCACTGCCTTCAGTTGTGGAAGGAAGACATGTGGGGGAACAACAGCTTCAATTTGCCATAATTTTACTGCATAAAGGTTGCTATGAGTGTGCAGCAATGTTTTTGAAACATGACCTCTTTCTGAATCCCCCCCTTCTCCTCATCCAGTCTTGTAACATTTACCAAGATCAAAAGGGACACGCAGCCAACTCTAAGCTGCCCGCTTATCATCTAAGAAAATGGAGCTGGCATATTGAACTCTGAGAGAGCAGAATCTTAGGTCATTCACTTTTTCTGTGTTTTTGCTCCGTGAAAGAGATCATAAATCCATGTTACAATTGAAATGACTGTGCCAGGCTGAAATGAGTATTGACAAGTAGAGAAATGCTGCAGAAAATGAGTGATTTTTAAACTATTAGAATTATGAACAATTACTCCATAAAATGTACCCTAAATGGATGATAAATTTAAAGAAACATTGTATGAACAATTTGAATACTGTTCCTCTGCCATTATCAGTCATGTGCAGAAACGACACCGCAGGTGTTACCATGGTTTCCCAGGGTAACACTCCCCCTCTGTGCTAACCATCTAATCCCACCGATGGAAATGAAGGCTGGGGCTCCAGAGTGAGAGAGCCAGAGACAACAAGCATTAGTCACTTGGAGGCATTTGTTCCCGTTCTTCAGAGGCTAATGGCGTAAGTCAGAATGGCTAAACCTTCTAACCCCAAAGGATTTTCTCTGACTTCGTGGATCCCAAGGCCAGTGTCCTGTAAGTCACAGTCAATATCATTTCATTGCCACACTTCCATTTCTGGTGTTATTGGCAGACTCCATTAGAGCAGTCATCTAGACATTCAGTGCCAGTGCTAAATTCCCAAGGACATGGGCTATCCTTTCAAACGTTGGAAAGCATATGCCTGGTGCTATCGTGAGCTACACCTTGAACTATAAACAATGAGGTCAATGGTTTGACCTCCAGTGACTCCCCAGGAGAAAGATGTGGTTGCCTACTCCTGTAAAGATGTAAAGATTTAAAGTATCAGAAACCCAAAGGCCTATTTCTATTTCATCCCGTAAGGGATTACGGGATTGTGGTTTCTTCATAAAGAGAGGCAGCATCTTTTACTCTTCAATTTCCTTCCATTTACCTGAAGAAATGTAACATCAGAATTTTTCAGAAACCATTTTCTTATTCTTTATAAATAGCTGTACATAAATTGTGCATAAATACACTTACTTTTTTCTTATTTATAAAGTAAATTATTTTATAAATTTTGAGACAGAATCATTATGAGACAGAATCAACATCATAGAGAAAGCCAAAAAAAAAATTTAAGAAGAGTATGATTTTTCAAGTCAAGACATTCTGTAACACCATTATTCAGTTTTATTTTGGAAATGACAAATGCTAGTCCTAAATATTTTTCAATTATATTCTTGTGTGGTAGGCATTTTGTGCCAGCATGGTGACTGAAAGAAGATGTGGCAGCATTTAGCTTGTCAATCAGGTGGCAGCCTGATGAACTTCCCTTTGAGGCGTGACCAGGATACATAGCTCTCTGGAGGCTGGTCTCTCTCTGTCATCTCTGTCTCTCTCTCTGTTGCTCTCCTTTCACTTTCCTGCTTGCTGGCCACCCTGAGAGCCTCGGGAACCCTACCATATTTTCCATGGACCTCAGGTCCACACGACTGTGCACCCATAGGGCTGTGATCTTCCTGCACTCTGATCACTGCATGTGCTTTGTCAGGACTAGTATCAGACCTAGGGACTTGAGTTGGACTGGGCTAGGATTTTGTTTTAAATATATAATTGCCTCTTGATATATAGCTTTTTCTTAAATACATATGAGTGTCACTGGATTTGTTTCTCTAGTCAGTGGGGCCTATCATATTCTTGGTTTTCTCAGTATATAAATAAAGACAATTTATAAAATAATGTACTTTATAAATAAGAAAATAAAGGATGCTGTCTCTCTTTATAATGCGAAACAGAGGTGTATCTGAACCATAAAGTACTTCTGACAGATCTGAACCTTAAAGTTGTATGGCCGGATCAATACCAGGCCAGCTTCTAGCAGCAAGTGACCTTGAATCTTCCCACCTGTGCGGAGCTGACCAGAGCTAGCTGAAACAACTAGCAGCGAGTGACCTTGAATCTCCCCCACACACCTGCGAGCTGACCAGAGCTGGCTAATGGCCCCGCTTTATTCTCGACCCGCCGCTATGCACCCGGCAAGGCCCGTTTGGCTCAGTGCCCGCACCTGGCATGGCCCGTTTGGCTCAATGCCTACTTTGTTCTTGGCCCTCCGCTCTGCACCCGGCACAAATACACCCGGAACCAGGAAGACATCTTATATTCCAGAAACCCGGACATACCTGTATCGCTCAATCCCTGACTACTTTACCGTATATGGAGTCAAGACAGCCCAGTCACATGTTCCCTGGCCATATTAGCACCACCCCTGTAGCTTGGGGCCCGACTCCCTCGGCCTGGACACTGGACCGTGGGACTTCGCCCAGGCTGGGTTTTTCTCCCCAATAAAGCCTGTTTGTTCTAATTCGACTGATTTGGTTTCTGGTGCCTCTCGACTACCTTACAAAGTACTTGAAGGACTTCTTGGCCAGAGAAATTAGGTATGTGCCCATTTACTACAGTAATCAGACAATGGATAGTTCCTGATTGGCGTTATATACCTAAGTGGTTAATTTCTGATTTATCATCTTTTTTTTTTTGTCCAAAGTAACTTTTTATGCATATAGAATGGTAAAATTCTAGAAAACAATAAAAACTCATGACATGGAAAAACAACAACATCAACAAAATTTATGACATGAAGTTATTGCCAGAATTCTAGAGAATTGGCCTGTGAAATACGAGATAAACTCTATCACCAGGGAAACTGTCAGGACAGTTTATTTCATATTCAGTTTATCCACCCCCCCCCACCCTCCACCTCAAAGACCTCCCTTCAATACTTTCGTGATTGCTTTTTCACTCATTTATTTGTATGTTTACTTAGAATTGAGTAGGATGTCAGAAAACATGTTTACTTTTATTTACTCAAGTAGTTAAAAGGAAATTTTTCCTATTACTATTCACTTTTTTTAAGGGAAAAATACAAGCATCTTAAAGAAAAGAGGGGGAAAATCTGTGTTCTTACTTTCTTCTGAGAGATCATTTTCCTCTGCTTCCCTTTCCATCTCTTTACACCAGCCTTCCATTCTCTTCGTCTCTGTGTGCAGAAGTTTCAAAAACCATGACCCATCCCTGCGACATGGAGACATTCTTCCAGTTTCTACGGTCTCAACAGATGGCTCCAGCCAAGGGTCAGGAGGGGGGAGGTTCGAAGCATCAACTTGGGTCCTATAGTCTTCTCTATAGCTGAAGAGTCCCTGGGTCCGTACAGTCCTTACCACCCCATGCTGGGTCGGAGTGCTCGGTTCCGAGTGGCGCTGGAAGGATGAGCCAAACTGGAGCCCTTTGTCCTCCATGGTGATGCGTCCTGGGAAGCCCTCTAGTTCCAAGTCGGCTTGCACAGCCGCAGTCACACTATTGGAACGTTTGAAACGGCCGTGCCTGGGAGAGGAGGGAAAGACAACAGAGGCACACTGTCTGAGATGATTTTAACTGTGCGACAAAAGCTCACATATGCCTTGTAAAGAGGAAGCCTAAACCACAATTTAAGAACTGAAGAAACAAAAAATAATGGCTTGTAGCTATATAATATGCTTTGTATTTCATTCTTGAAAGGATGCTTTAACCTTTCTCTACCTAGGTCTCAATGTCTAAATGGTAGTAATTTAGGATTTACTATTTTATTGAATTAAAACCAGGGCGATAAAATGGGAGTTCCTGTATTAAACTACTGTCTTCAAATGGTTAGCCTTTTTTTCAGCAAGGCACTTCAAGTTTATTCAATTTCCTTTATACTGTGTACATACGACCTATCTGTATGGCAATGCCTTATGTTGCCTTTTTAGTGCAAATAATATCCAAGCCATACTGAGTCTTAGTGGTTATTCATATCACATTCCAGGATATGAGTTTCTTCTCCTAGCTTGGTAACTTAATACCATCCTCTTAACTTCTATGCAATGTGTGGCTGCTAGTCGGCACCCAGTTGGCTCGACTCAAAGTGGTAAATAACGGATTGGAACACTGCCGGGTCCTGCGCTGTTCTAGCATTGTCGCTGTGTCTGAGCCCATTATTGGCAGTCACTCTGTCAATCCAGCTCATTGAGGGTTAAAATAATGAACCCAAATTGTCTTTAGCAAGTTAAAAAAATTCTCATTGTTATGTATTTGAAAATAGCCTATTTTCACATAGCCAATTCCTGAAATGATTGGCAGGAAACCAGAGTCTATATAATTGGACACCAGATATGGCTGGTGTGAGCAGAGAGGATGGTGTATGTGTGTGTGTCTGTGTGTGTGTGTGTGTGAGTGTGTGTGCGTGTACAGTCCATGTTTGTTGTAGTTAAAAATTCTGGCTTCTCACCAACTGAATCCACAGATGGCAAACAACTGGGCGGACAGCTGGGTAATGAATTTGCCACTTCCTTCCTTTGCTGGAGGCAAAGGGCTGACAGGAGGGAACCACTGCTCAGGAGGGAGGGCAGCTAGCCCAGTTTCCCAGGTGCAAAAGATGCCCAGCTTCTGAGAAGTCTATGTGGAGGATTTGTCAGGGCCATTAACTTGTGGCCAAATTTCGTTGCAATGAAGAGGTCTAAAACCTTCCACTGTGATGAATACTACTAGCCCTTTACCTAAGAGATGCTAATTGAAGTTCAAGATAATAATGCTCTCATTAAAATTAGTTTTTGACAGACTTTATAATATATACTCTGTTCTTTAAAATATAAAATAAAATGAGTATACCATCCTTGTTGCAAAAATAACAACTTGAATGGACGTCTTTCTATACTTTATATTTGAAAAAAATATCCTGGTATGACGAAGGCCTTGAACGTCTCTTTTTTCCCTTCTTCCTTTTAATATTATCAGGTGGGAAAACATACATTACTCTAAACCCATTCTTCTTCTTTGGATCAAAAACTGACTTTCAGAGCTGTCAGCTACTCTGCTTTCAGAAGTGGTAAATTGCTTTAGAAAGAATGTATTCCCTTGCCTCTTGGGAAAACAAGACATAGGTGAATGTTAATTCATACTTGAACGGTTAAAATTGAAAAGCATAAATATATGCCCATGTTTCTACAAATGGCATGACTGAGCGATGGTGAGGTCTTTAACAAATAGCTCTCACTTGGGAAACATCGTATACTGTGAAGAGGGTGAGTTACCGCTTTCCATCTTCTACTTGCACGCCCACCGAGTGATATTCCCGTAGGCCTCGGCTCTCGGTGTCCGAGTCTGTAGCTGTTTCCACCTAATTCAACACAAAACAGCTTATTGTAGAACTGAAATGTAGGACCTGGGCAAGGGATTATCTTTTTTTTTTTCTTGTTCATTGGCTGTAATTAATTATGCATTTGTTTAATTAATGCTGAGATGCACTTGACCCATTAAAATCACAAAGAAAGGGAAATGCAATTTATATTTGTGTAATTATGTTGCCACTGCGCTTCACCCAGTTTTACATAACTACTTGAACTCAACACAGCACTTCTGCCTTTTAAATTTATGCAAATAAAGTTATTTAGTTCAGCTCAGGCAAAAAAGAGTCTTTGTTGGACTACAATACGATCAGACGTAAAAGCTCTTATCACACCCTAGAGTGAAGCAGGGAAGTCCAGCATGAACCAAGCACGGCTAACAGAAACAAAGAAGCGGCTTCATAGAATTGTGCTGATGGCTGCATCCACACACAAAAAGACAGAAGAATGCAAGCATCTTATCCCAAACACGAAAGCCATCTCTCCATCTCCATGTCCTGCCTCACATTTGCTCACAGGACTGGGTCAGCAGGGTGAGGTCAGATCGGAGCAGAAATCCTGCATTCGATAGAGAATTCTCTCAGTGAAGCTGTAGTTTTAAAAAGCTCCGCCATTGACATGAAGCATTTTAATGATCTTCAGCAGTGGATGTGTTACACAAGGGAATCCTAATACAGTAAATTTTCAAAAATAAATAAGTAAAATAAATCCCCAGAAGCCTGAATATTTTGTGAAACCAAAGGCTAGTTCTAAGTATACCATGGCACTCAACTATTGTATTTCTTTTTAATTCCACAAAAATTACTGAATACGTCAAAACGATTTTTGACTCCTGCTGCAAGTATCATACCCTTTTGCAAAAACATTTCTTTTTCCCTTAGATATATTGGCACTCACTAGAAGGAAAATACACAAACCACTAAGCTAAGAATTATGACATTGAATTGTGTGAGTTATGAAAGAAAAACTTTACAAGGACAATTATAATTTGTGGTTGGACCTAAGGCTAATTCTATGAAAATTAGGATGAACTAAATTTCTGACTAACAGAAGAAATAATAATAATATTAATAATAGTAATGAAAATGAATATTTACTTTATGTTTACCACGTACCAGGCACTATGTTAAGAACATTGCACAGATCTTTTCCTGTAATCCTCACAGTAATTCTGTTGTTGCTGGCCACTTTTGGAAAGTTGAGGAACCAGAGAAGTTAAGTGACTTGCCAAAAGCACACAGCTTATTCTTAGCAGAGCTAGGATTTAAACCCCGATCTTCTGACAACAGAGCCTGTGTTCTTCATAGCAGATAAAGATAGTGAATTAGAGAGATTCCAGAGCGCCTAGCTAGTGGCCAGCCATGGAGAACGAGCAGGTACATCCAGGTTTTTAAACAAATTTCTATTATTGGTATAATTCCGAAGACTTGTGCACAAATTTTACCTAATTTGTGTTATGTTTTTTTTATTTTTTTATGTGTTATGTTTTTGATAGGGTAAATTAACTGCAGGAGGAAGAAAATTTTTTAGTGAAAATCCTAACTTTACTGCTAATCACCTTTGGGTGAAGGCTTTATTAAATTTTCACTTGCTGGGCTTGGAGGTAACTATTACAATCATTTATATAAAATTATCATAATAAAATACATATAAGCAATTCACAGATACATATACATATACAAGTGACTGGAAATACATACAACAAAAATATGGCCAAGTACATTTTCCTTCCTTCATCCAGTCTAAATTTTATTGTAAAAAAGATGTTATTTTTATAGTGAATTAGAAAAATATAGCTTTTGTAGTTAGATAGATTCCTGTCACTTCCTGTGTGACTCTTACATGTAAGTTTTAAAAAATGTTGCGTTTTAGCTTTATTACCTCAAAATGAAGGTGACACCAAGCCCCTTATCTGATTCATCTAAAACTCTCCTTACAAAGCCATTTATAGAATTGTGTCTACAGAAAATATGAATTCTATGTTCTTTCACCATAATTGTTCGGATCACCAGGTGAATATATACTTCTGGATATATATACACACAAGGGCCTACAAAAAGCTCATGCAAAGTTCATGGAATTAAAAGATAATGGGATTCTCCCCTGCCCCCCCAGCCCCCTCCCACCCCAGGATTTTTGAAGCTCTCACATAGGAATGAAAACAAAATATGTCTAATTCATTTTATAGATTTGATAGTGGTTGCCATATGACACCGCTCTGGTGGCACAGTGGGCGGCTACCTGATCAGTTTGAAACCACCAGCTAGCTGGTCCACTGGCAAAAAGAGAGGCTTTCTCCCTCTGTGAAAAGTGGCAGAAACCCACATGGCCAGAAGGATGCTGTCCTGTAGCCAGAATCAACTCAAAGACAGAAGTTTGCCTTAATGTTGGGAGGTGAAGATCTAAGGCTGATATCATGAAATCATACATTGTCACAACAAGGTGAATATTTGTAAATTTCAAAAACAGTAAGAATAGAGAAGTGTGAGCAGAGGTAGAAAAAAGCAAGGCTAAATCAAAGAAAAAGATCTACTCTCTTGCACAGGGAGAAAGAAACTCTAAGAAGTTCTTTCCTCAAGAAATTCTGGATTTCAAAAGTCTATGAACATACTTATTTAAAAATATCTATCATGTGCTAGAGAATTGTTCTAGGAATTGAGGAGAGAAAAAAGATGAATCAACACAAATCACTCTATTTCAAATGAAAAGACCAGTCTGCTTCCATAAAGATCGACCACCTTGGTAACCCCACGGAGCAGAGCAACTCTCCTGTCTGGTCCCTGCGAGTCAGAATCGGTTTGGCAGCAATGAGTGTTATATCTGAGAAGTCCAAACTGCGTTTGAGGAGCTTATTGACCAATGGGGAAGACAGACACACGAACAGACAGACAGTCACTGCCTGTGCCTTCGCAGAGAAGTGCTCGGTACTCTGGGACTGTGGAAGGCTCACTTAACTTTCACCGAGGCAATGTCAGAGTGATTTCAGCCGTGAGTCAGAACTGATCTGAAAGCACCTGGCAACCACAAGAACATCTGTCGTAATAAGTGACGGAAAGAAGGGCATTGCTAAACACGATCTGTTTCAGAAGCAAAGAACTTGGGGGTGGTGTGGTGTGTGTGTGTGTGTGTGTGTACACACGCTGTAACTGATGGGAGATGTGGCTGCAGAGGTGCACAGGCCCTTGTATGCCCTAGCTTCGTATCTGGGAATAAGCTTTGGTTGGAAGTGAAATACAACCCCAATTCAGCCTCAGACTATGTGCCAGCCTTTACCCTGACCTTAACATCTAGAATCCATTCCTTGTGTTGGGGCTGTTGGCTCAGAAGGCTAACAAACTCAAGCTCCGATCTGAAATTGAGCTCAGTTTATACTTTGCATTCAAAACCTTACATCCTGTAAGGCAGGCACATTGCTTTTGATTCAAAGTCATTTCCTCCACTCCCCACCCTCCACCCCCAGGGATCTGTTTCAAATCTAAGAGTTAAATATAATTGCAAACCCTGTTGCCACCAAATGGGTATAAAGCTATAGCATAAGCAACAATGAAGAGCAGAATGATAGAGGTCTGGGTTAAATTAGGGCTGGTGAGGTCAAATTCATAGATTAGTGTGGGAAATAAACATTTTTCTCTCAGTGAAGTGTGGGTGGGCAGACTGAAAAAATTCAGTGATGGTTGAATCAATTCAGACTCACAGTGACTCTCTAGGACCGAGTGGAACCGGCCCTGTGGGTTTCCAAGGCTGGACGTCACCTTAGTGAGGGCATGTAAAATGAAAAATAACAAGGGCTTTCATACGGTGTGGACTTTTCATTTCACAATCTGATGATAAAATAGAACAGGAATTGTTTCCAGTTTATAGATGGCCTCATCTGAGGCAATTGGAAATGATGCACGACTGAGTCCCTTTCCCCAAACTGCAGTGCCTGGGAGCTCTAGAAGCATCGTGCTGTTGAGGCCGTCCCTGGGCGCAGTATATTTTCAATAGGGTGGCACACACACATACAGGTATACACACATACAATAAAATGAAAAGCTATTCAATAACAAACAGCAGATTAAAAGTTGAGAAGTAAACACAAAAGAGAGAGCGCAATGTTACTGTCATAATAAAAAAAAAGAGAGAGAGAGAGAGAGAGAGGTAGACTGGATTATTGATTCTGGGTCAGATGACCTGTTTAAGGACACCCAGAATGAGGCAAGGAAGTTCTTTCTGAATCCTTATCCTGAGCCTGGAGTCACTGGGTAGAGTAAATGGTTAATGTGCTCATCTGCTAACTTAAGGTCTGAAGGTTTGAGTCTAACCTGAGGCACCTGATGGGGTAGTGGTTGGGAAATGGCCTGCTAACAGCAAATCGGCAGTTCAAAACCACCAGTTATTCCGTGGGAGATAGACAAGGCTTTTTACTCCCATAAAGAGTCAGAGTCTTGGAAACCCACAGGGCCAGTTCTACCCTGTCCCATTAGGTCACTATGAGTTGGAATCTACGCAACAGCAATGAGTTTCTTTTGAGAGAGGCACCTGGGAAGAAGAGTGTGGTCCTCTCCTTTGGAGCCCTAAGAAGGGCAGCTCTGCTCTGACACACGTGTGGTTGCCACCAGTCAAAATCAACTGGACTGATTTTCCTCAGTCCGGGGGACTCTGTTATCTCTTCACGGGGCTGCCTCTTGCTTGCAAGTCCAGAAGCTCAGACTGGGCCAGCTGCACAAGGCGGGACGTGCTGTACCAGGCTAGTCTCACAAGCTGGACTCCAGGGATCTGAGTAACAAAGGGAACTCCAAACTTGTTCTTGGATAAAGTGCACAAGGTCGGAGGACTACACCCATGGGGGAGTGTGTGCACAGACTAGATCCGGTCACTGGTCAATCACGTTAGGTACAGAGCTCAGCAGTTATGAACAAAATCCTAACGAAATTAATTGTGTCATGTCATTAGATGGACTGTAAACTTAGGCGTTCCTGCCTCACACATCAATGATTCATTTAGGCTCTGAGCGCCACAGAAGTTGCATTCAGCAGTTTGAACTCTGTTCAGTAGTGAGAACAAGAACTGGTAAGATTCAAATTGTCCTTCAAACTTCCTTAGTTACGTACGGTTTGGGGTCAGGGAAAATAATTGCCAGTCAATGCCAGTAAAATAGGTAAAATGCTAGTCATTTTCCTCTTTAAAAAGTGGCAAGCAGAGCAATACATATTCAGGATCCCAACACTGTGGTGGGAGCCAGGATTGTCTTTTCCTCTCATAAGGCCGAGGGAATGACCCTCAGATCTGCCTCGCCGAAGGCACTCCGTCTTTCTGCCATTTTGTTTCTCTTCTTTGGGAAGCAGAATACAGTTCGGGTTCGAGGATTGGACCTACCTGGCTTTCAATCGTGATGTGCCACCTCTTGGCTATGTACCATTAGGCAAGTAATTAACTCTTCCTGGGCCTCTGCTGCCCCATCCAAAAATCAGGCATAACAACAACAAGCACATAGGATTATTATGAGAATTAAGCAAGCATACCATAGGAGTCAGGACACAGCAAAATGTCCAAATGTTTAGAAAATTATTATTATTATTATTTACTATTGTGCCTTTGCTTAATTATCCATTTCATTCTGTTTCTTTGTCCTAGACTATTTAGCTTGGCATCTTAAACACAACTATCTTTAATTTCCTTGACTATTTTTTTTTGTACCTTGATATTTGAGTTTCTTTGACTGTGCTGACTGACTTTGGCTTTACAATGGACTTCATTTGGACAATTACTAGGTTACATGTTCACATAACATTGTGAATCTTTTACTGGCTTAGAAGACAAGTTGAATTAGCTCACACTTGTATTCACTTTTATCTTTAGCCACCCACTCATTCATTCATTTACTCACTCACTCACTTGTTCAACATTGATCAAGCACACATTATGTGTCAGGCACTGTGCTAGGTGCTGGAGATCTCAAGAGGCATAAGGTATAGTCCCAGTCTTCCCAGGACGCAGTTTAGGAGGGTCGCGTCAAGAAAGGCTTCCAGGAGCTGTACATGCATAACCTGAGCTTTAGGAGATGAATTGGAGGTGAGTAAGGGAGAAATAGAGATGGTTAGGGGTTGCTGGCATACAACGTGGAGGCAGGCAGGAAGTGGGGGCATCCTTTGTCAGCATGTTAATTTGATGATTTTCTGAAATTAAGTTCCCACTCACTGTGGAGAAAGTCAGCAACTTCATGTTTTCCTTTGATTCGCTTGTACTCTGCTGGGCTTGTGTAAAGCTGCCCTGGGCAGTACAGAAAGTACGCGTGGGAGATGGCAGCTGAGAAAACCAGAAAATGGCGATTGCCTGAGGGGTTGAACTTAGGCCTAGTGAATTTTGAGGATCGCTTAAGTCTTCAATTGCAAACAGGCCTTTGGAGGCAGGAACCCTGACTTTCTCACATCCTACCTCTATGACCTAAGCAAGTCCCTTGATTACAGGCAAGTTATTTAATCTTTCTGAGCTCCATCTTCCCCATTCCTTAAGTGGGACTCATTGGGTACGATGCTGAAATATGAACCCACCTAGCAGAGTGCCTGACATATAGAATCAGGACAGAGAGAGGTGACAAGAGCAGTTGTATGAATAATCCAAAGAAGGTAGATAAAATGAAATTCATGCGCATTTGGCTTTGGAGGATATCTTGGTACTTACATCTGACCTTGGGCATGGCTGATGCTCTGGGAATTCAGAATCCTAAACAAAACAATGAAGCCACACGGTGGAGACCTGGTTCAGAGGACCTGTGAAAGCGGCCGCCTCCCCACCCCGCTCCTCCAGGCAGCACAGTACTTGCTCCATAGCCCCTTTGCGTCCAGGCCGTAGCATCACCTCGCCCCCAGGCCAACCACCAGACACGCTCTGCCAGGGAGAGCTCCACTTGACCTCTTCCCTGGGGGAGGCCCAGTGGCAATTGAGCATTCTGATTTTAAAAATGCCTGGCTGTTCACAGGCTTAATGGAGGAATCAAAAGGAAGCCAGAGGTGAGTCATAGAGGCAAAGGGCTCTTCTCACCCGCCTGGTTAACCGTGTCAGGAGGAGCTTGGAGGCAAGCTGCACCTGAGAGGAATGAAGAGCATCGGTTGGTACAAGGCAAACTCCCAGCCCTGCCCTTAAGTAGACATATGTGCACCTGGGTCAGGTGACCTGACATACTGGTCCTGTGTTTGAGCACAGTACCTACCTTACACTGCATCTGGGCTTAAAATATTGATCTTTATGAAAGAGTGTCAAAGTTATCTACTCAAAATCAGAGAGAATGTACCACCAAATCAGTATCTTAGCTCAATGTTTTCGGATCTCAAGCAACTGTTGGTCAGGCCTCTTTTGTTTGAGAACCGAGGCTGCAGCATTTGTGGCCTTCAGGGCCCTCCACAGACGACCTCCAGTCTGCTCAGAGGTTCCTTCAGGGGTCTGGCTTGGAGAAAATGCGAGCATTTCCTGAGCTTTGTATCAAAGAGGCTCTCCTTTCCCTTCTCTTTGTCTCCTTTCCCCTCTTTGTCTCACTTCACCCTTCGGTGGTGAGACAGAAAAGCTGCTGAAAACTCAAACTTCAAAACAACAACGCCAAAAACCAGAAATGAACAACAAAACCCCACTTTTGTTAAGTCTCAGAATAACTGATTTTCAGGCTTATTCCCCAAGTGGCCACTGCCCCTAGGAAATGCAGAAGTGGGGATAATCCCCTGGGTAAGGTGGCAGGGGGACAGATATGGCCACAGGGGTCTGACTCTTTCAGCTGGGCCGTAAGTCTGCAAGCACACCGGGGTAGGTAGATTCACCCACCCATTTCACTGGGGGCTGAGCAACAGGAATGGATGGCCTTTTCTGACATTTCACTGCCCTGCTCGGGGTGACAACCCAGGATTGTTCACGTTTCAGACCTAGGGAAGCGGAACACCTGAGACTATGCTAGAAGCGGGTGGAGTCATTCACCGCAGGTGCAGGTTAATCATGGGCTACCTGGATCCCTATGGAGGAACGCCGGCTGCCGAGGAAGTCCTCGCCTTTGGACGCTAAGATGCCCTTGTCACCAGCCCTCGCAGAGCTGCCCTGGCTTTCAGAGGCGTGGCGCTGAGCAGCGGCAGTTTCTAGAGCAAGATTCATGGCCTTGTGACTGTCCAGACTGTCGGTAGAGTTGTAGAGGCCGCGGCCCTCTTGGGGCCACGGGGAGATCCTCTGCGTCCGGCTGTCGTGATAGGCATCCTGGGTGGACTCAGTGCTGCTCTGGGCGGTCACTGAAATCAGCGGCTTGGAGGTGGTCCGAGGGGGTACCGGTGGGGGTGTTTTTTTGTAATTTGTATATGATACAGCTGTAAGAGAAAAGAAAAGCCCCAATTGAGTAAGTGTGTAGTTTCCCCCTCTCAGCACCTGGTCTGCAGATTAAACCTGTGCGTAGCCTGTGATCCTATTTCTCAACACCCAATCTAAGAAAATAATGCAAGATATGAGGGAAAGTTTTATGCACAGTGGTATTTTATGCAGACATGTTTGTAAAAGCCAAACATGATAAACACGCAAAATTCCAGCAATAGAGGCACCATTGACTAATTTGAAATTCCGCAGGACAGAATTGTGGCTAACCTGTGATTTTTCATGAAATTTGAAGTATCATAGGCAACGCTCATTTTATAATGGTAAGTTATGAACAAGCCGAACACTGAATTATACATCGAGTCAGAAAGAATACATTTGTAAAGAAAGCTTATGCATAGAAAAATGGTCAGAGATGCATAGAAACGGTTATCTCCGAGTGAAATATGGGTGATTTTTTTTCTCCTACTTGTCAGTATTTCCTTTTTCAAAAAAATGTTTGCCTGTATTTTCTAAAAAATGCTTATAACGACTATTATCTTTACAATGGAAAAATATATCACATTAGAAAATGTTCTGCTCCCCAGAACTTTCTTCTGCCCCCTTACTCAGGTCCCAGTCCTGATGGGATGGAAAGGGGTGTTCCTCAGGGTGGGCCCTGCGAGGCTGTAGATTACTAGGTAGTCCGCACAAAGGTATCCGGACATTCAAATCTACCTTTATCTCAGGGCCCCTTGCCAGTCAGTTTCTGCCTGGGGGCCGGATGACGCACTAACTGAAGGGTTGGCAGTTAGCACTTAGCCGCTCTGGGGAAGAAAGCAGTGCCAGTCCAATTCCTTAATGCGTGCGGCCCCAGCAGCCCTCTGCAGCAGTCTGCTCGGTCCTGTGAGGTCTCTCGGAGTCATAATCAACACAGTAGGCCATGCCCTTGGTCTGGCTTGCCTTGGCCCATCTGCACGGCATAGATACGTTTAACACCGACAGAGAAAAAGAGAGAAAGAAAGAAACCCAGATCCAATTTGGAGTCATAGCGGTCCTCGAGGACAGAGAGGGCAACTTTCCCTTTGGGTGCCCGAGGCTGTAAATCTTTATGAGAGCAGAAAAATCTCATCCTTCTCCTTCCCAGTGGCTGGGTCACCTTGGCTGGGACAGTTCCGGTCACCTTGGCTGGGTCAAGATTCTCAGTGGCTTGGCTTTGGCGCAGCGGTGAGCAGCCAAGCAGTTGTAAGGAGATTAGGGTGGAGTGCTACTCCCTCACTCAGGTCACAGCCCTGATAAAATTGAAAGGAGCTTTCTGCAGGGATCTGGCCTGCTTATTATATAAGTAGACACTGTGGAAAGTTTGCTAGCTTCTTCTTGTATCTGAATTCTGCATTTGGCTCATTGACTTCCAATTCTTGGGAATTGAGCCAACTGCCTGCCATCTGACCTGCCTACTTGGAATTTATTCACCTCCACAGTCACCAGCTTGTGGCCTTCCTGCTGACCTTGGGGTCACCGGCTCTCGAAGTGATGTAAATCCAGAGAAGTTTCCAGCCTAGCAGCCATGGACTTGGCACTTGCCTGTATTTGGACTTGATCACTTCTACAAGCATGTGAATAATTTTCTTGATATAGCTTCCTCTTTCTCTCTCTCTTTCCACAGACACACACACACACACACACACACACACACACACACACACACACACACACACACAATGCTTTTGGTTCTCTAGAGAACTCAACCAAAAAACACAGCCCAGCAAGTAACCCACAGTATCACTAGGGTGCAAACTGACTTTAAAGTAAGGCAACTAAAGTGAAAAATGCAGTTGAAGATGAAAATGATATTAGTTTTCAAGTTCCTCAAAAGATATTGAGTGCATTTGTCAGGACTCAAGGTATTTCTTAGTTTTACAGCTAAAACTTCATATTCTCTTCTGATGTGAATTGGCCTTCTATTACAATTTATTATTTTCCTTTATCTTGAAAGAACTGCTAAAGTGCTTCAACTGCAAAAGTGCATCCAGACAGCCTTCAATACAATGCGAACCCAACACATTCTTATACAAAGGCAATGGAAGGGGCCTGGCGGTTCAGTACATTCAGTGACGAGACACGTACATAAACATCTTCCGGAGAGTCTAGCATCATCTGTGGAGACAACTTGACCAAAGATGTTCTCTTTTTTTAATCGTTTTATTAGGGGCTCATACAAGTTTTATCGCAATGCATACATACATCAATTGTGTAAAGCACATTTGTACATTCATTGCCCTCATCATTCTCAAAACTTGCTCTCCACTAAGCCCCGGCACCAGCTCCTCATTTTCCCCTCCCTCCCTACTCCCCCCTCCCTCATGAACCCTTGATAATTTATAAATTACTATTTTGTCATATCTTGCCCTGTCTGACATCTCCCTTGTTGTCCGTCCCACAGGGAGGAGGTTATATGTAGATCCTTGTAATTGGTTCCCCCTTACCAACCAACCCTCCCTACACCCTCCCAGTACCGCCACTCACACACTGGTCCTGAAGGGATCATCTGGCCTGGATTCCCTGTGTTTTCAGTTCCTATCTGTACCAGTGTATATCCTCAGCTCTAGCCATATTTGTAAGGTAGAATTGGGATCATGAAAGTGGGGCGGAGGAAGCATTTAGGAACTAGAGGAAAGTTGTATGTTTCATCATTGCTACATTGCTCCCTGACTAGCTCATCTCCTCCTGGAGACTCTTCTGTAAGGGGATGTCCAGTGGCCTACAAATGGGCTTTGGGTCTCCACTCCGCACTCCCCCTTCATTCACGATGATATGATTTTTTTGTTCTGTTGATGCCTGATCCCTGATCCCTTCGATACCTAGTGATTGCACAGGCTGGTGTGCTTCTTCCATGTGGGCTTTGTTGCTTCTCAGCTAGATGGTCGGTTGTTTAATTTCAAGCCTTTAAGACCCGAGACATTATATCTTTTGATAGCCGGGCACCATCAGCCTTCTTTACCACATTTGCTTATTCACCCGCTTTGTCTTCAGCAATTTTGTCGGGAAGGTGAGCATCATAGGATACCAATACCAGGAGGGAAGGGGGGTGTAGAAAGGGGGAATTGATCACAGAGAGTTACATATAACCTCCTCTCTGGGGGATGGGCAACAGAGGGGTAGGTGAAGGGAGACGCCGGGCAGTGTAATATAAGATATAATAATAATTTATAAATTATCAAGGGTGCATGGGGGAGGGGGGCAGAGGAAGGGAGGCGGAGGGGAAAAAAAAGGAAAATGAGCTGATTCCGGGAACCCAAGAGGCAAGCAAATTTTGGGAATGATGAGGGCAACAAATGTATAGATGTGCTCTACACAATTGATCTATGTATTGTGATGAATTTTATGAGCCCAAATAAATTGATTAAAAAAAAAAAAGAAGCAAGTATTCTTACATTGAGGGAGTACTTGAGTGGAGGCCCAATGTCCTTCTGCTACCTTAATACTAAACCTATAAATATATGCACATAGATATATTTCCACATCCTCATATATAAATATGTTTACATATGTTCATGTCTTTATTTAGCCCTCTATAAATGTCCTTTGCCTCCTAGCCCTTTCCTCTATTTCCTTTGACTTTCCTCTTGTCCCACTATCATGCTCAGTCTTCATTTGGGTTTCAGTAATTCCTCTTGGTTACATTACCTTTGATTATGCCCTACCAGGCCTCCCACACCCTCCTCACCACTGATTTGGATCCCTTGTTGTTCCCTTGTCCCTGTGTTTGTTAGCGCCACTACCTTTCCCCCCAGCTCCCCCTCTCCCATGTTCCCCCAGAACTGCCAGTCCCCTTATTTTCTCCTCCAGATTGTTTAACCAGCCTATATTATTTGGACAGACCTGTGGAGATAATAACATGCACAAAAACAAGACAGAGCAAAACGAAGCAACAATATACAACCAAACAACTACAGCCAACCAATGACAAAACACAAAACAAAATATAACAAGAAAGAAAAGCTTATAGTTAGTTCAAGGACTGTTTATTGGCCTTCAGGAGTGTTTTCCAGTCCAGTCTGTTGGGGCACCAAGCCCTAGCCCTAAAGTCCACCTTCAGCATTCCCTGGGACCTCGCCGCTCCATTCCCTTGTTGTTTTGTTGCACCCCCTTAGTGTCTTGCCTCGGTGTGGTGGACAAAGATGTTTTTAAAGAACTTTCTGAACCTGTGCTCTGAAAAATGCACTGCTGCTTTTGCATCTAGAAAGACACTGTCTCCCAGGGTTGTGTTGTGTACATTTCCGGGTGCTTCATACGCATCACCCTCTTTTCCATCCATTTAAATATCTGTATAAATGGATTTTCCTAAACAGTACATTTTCAAGTACCATCTCAAATAAACAACGATGCATGACCAAGCAAATAGCACTCATCCAGTCAGAATGTTCTGCGAGCTGCTGTAGAGAGTTGAAATGAACATGTAGAAACTCTATGTGTTTTAAGGGTGCCCTGGGAAGAAAGCCCAAGGATAGGAAACCGACAGCGGAAGGTGAGGCGGCCCGTACCAAATGTGAGAGGGAGCCCAGAATGAAATGACCCCGGACTTCCATCTTTCGATGTCACAAACGAAACCTCTAAAACCATCTCTCTCTTTTTGGGAAGGATTTTATTTTAAAAAATGAATGTCAATTAATTTGTAAAGAAATCTATTAAAAACTTACTATATGTAAATCACCAGTCTAGCTGTTCAAAGATTATGTAAGATGTAACTCTAAACCTAGGACACTTATCTATTAAGTGAGGACTCTGGGCAGTGCAAGTGGTTTGCAAGCAGCTGCCGCCCTATGAAGTTTGGTGGCTTGAACCCACCCAGCAGCTTCATGGCTGAAAGGCCTGGTGAACGGCTTCCTTCACCGCCGAGAAAAATCCCACAGAGCAGTTCTCCTCTGTAACTCGTGAAGTTAACATGAGTTGGAACTGATTTGATGGCATTGGGTGTGGATTTCTGAGTTTACACACTCTGGTATTTTAAACACAGGGA